GTGGCGTCGATCTCTGATTCAAATTATATAAGAATTGAACTCTTTAGAAGAGAATTAATATCACCTGAAAAACGACGAGCATTAATGACCATGAAATATTCTAAATTATTCGGACGTGATACAGTCATACCTTTAATTAATGAACAAAACTTAGATTTTAGTTATTATAGTATAATAACAATTGGTGGTCAAAATTTTACTGTTAACCTTGATACTGGATCACCAGATCTTTGGGTTCCAGGTATTCAATGTAATTCATCACAATGTGGGACTCATAATCGATTTGATCCTGCAAAATCATCAACATTTGTTCTATCACAAAGTAGTTTTTCCATCACTTATGGTACTGGTACCATTATTAGTGGTAGTATAGGTCAAGATACTGTCATTTTCGGTGGAATTTCAATTACAAATCTAACATTTGGCACTTAATATTTAAAAAATAAATTGTTAATATGTCTTGTATTGTAGAAAAAAAATTTACCGAAAAGTCTTTGGCGCAAATAAGTTTGTCCTACGATAGTTATAAATAAATAAAGGGCGCATATACGTAAAAAATTATAATACGCGAAATCATAACGCGTAAATAACAGAATATTGTATGCTTCCTTTTGAAAATGGCCGTGTAAACTACTAATTTCCAAGGGAAAATGCAAATTTTGAATAATATTTAAAGTATTCTTTATTGTCCGGAATCTAGCTAAAAACCTACAATGGATAAATGTATATTTATACCAGGAAAATGTCCTACATAATTTTGCTCGGCTCGCATAAGTGTAACGTGATGTGCATGTGGCAAATTATCGGAACAGCATTTTTTTTATGAGCACGTACTACGTAAAGTCTCTGAATATCGATATCGATATAATAAATGCAAACAAACTAAAAAAGAAAATTTCAATTCAAATAATAAGTTGCTGTAAATGGCCGCATAATCCCATTTGGATAGAAATGAACTACAGGTTTTCTATGTATAAATTAGATGCGAATTTTTTCTGGAAAGACTGCTTATTATAAATGCCAAATATATTATATGTTTCAAATTTTGTGGAATGTAACATACCCGAGTTTTGTATATGAGCATTTTATCGTTTCCTATATCAATATACTGTATCAAATTTTAATCCCTTTGTTTTAATTAGTGCGAAAAGTTATTTCGGTATCGCTCAACTTCCCAACAGTCATTTCCCGATAGGCATCTAATTTATATAACACGCGTGATAATTTAGCATTTTATTAGTCGCAGTTATATTTTATTAGTGAATTTTCACACTGTCTGGATATAGTTTAAATGGTCTGTCGGGAAAATGATCATTGGGAATTTGTACGTAACCTTCGTTTCGAAATCGTTGATCAGTTATCTCATTTTTTGGAAGTTGGTAATGTACGTATTTAACATAAGTCAATTCATTCCTATAGCTTCTAATTCCAATTTGCGATTCTAAAATTTCTGCTTTCACGTTGATTCTATGATTTAGAAGGTGGCAATTGAGACGTTACTAAACTGAAATACTAGCCAAAAAAATATAATGAAATCAAAGGTTTAATATTCGTGCGTAAATTATGAGCATAAAGTACTAGTATCAAAATAGGTGCTAAAATTTAGAATCCGGGTTAGAAATGAGAATATTAAAAGTTTTGGGTTAAAAATTAGGCCAAAAATAAATTTAAAAAAGGTTCTTAAATATTGTGCTTAGAACATTAAGCATTAATTAACTATTTTTGAAATATAGTAATTGAAATACTTTGACACCAAGCTTTAAAGTTTTATTACGGTTGCAATTGCACATTTTTCATAATTGGGGTTTCGGAATTAACGTACGAAATCTAATTTTAACAGAATTAGATAATGTTTTCACTTTTAAATGAGCGATGTGTAAACCTTAAGTCATTTTTTCGTTCGTGTTGACATGCAGTCAACAGATCGAAAAGATGTATACGAACGCCATTCTGAATACGTGAATTATAGCCGGCTAGGCCACTGGCGGCGCAAATTCGAGAATAATGCAAAAGAAGATCAGAATCAAGCGTGAAAAAATTTAGGTTCAAGACATGACTTGAATTGACTTCCGGATTTGGAGCTTATGAGGTAATTATTGTCGGCCAAGTAAGATTCGATCTAAGTATGGCCAAATGCAACAATATATGGGTAATTATTTTTTGTTATTACGTCATATATAAAATTGGTCCGAGTTCAAAAATAATTACCCATATGGGCTGTTTGCTAGGAAAATCAATATTTGATACTTGCTTTCAGACAGTGATTTTCCTAGCAAACTACCCATATAGTGAACAGACCAGAATACAAGCCGATGTCTACAGTAATCGAATTGCCAAGTTTCCATCTGCGACCCTGTCCCACCCTCTCACAAAAACGTCAATAATAGCAATGTCATGGTTATGCAATGATAATTCACATGCTAAAAAAAAAGAGACAAAGAACATGTATATTTTCAGCATGTTAATACAGGAATAGTGCGAATGCTGCCATTTTCGTAGCAATTACTTGCAGTATTTTCATTTTGTCGGCTGGTATGCATTACGCCGATGGGAATCCACCGGCAATGCTGCGCTGCACTTCTGTACTATCCAAGAGATACCCGGCGCAATCTCGATTGTTATTTCTGGGAGCATATCCCGTTCCAGTTTCAATAGCAACTAATGTACAGTATCTTTAATTAATTAAATAAAATTCATTCCCGGTATATTACTCCGGATTTACTTCAAATACTCATTCTAAATAACATAAATTTGAAATGATCGTCGTTGAAAAGTTTACTTATTTCGTTAAATGGGGAGTCTCTAAACACCCCTCACATTTTCTACTTATTTCAGAAATACGTCATTTTTTTCTCTTAGGAAATAAATAGGTAATCACCAGAAGCATGTCACTAGATGTTATCGGACTGCCATACCATTATTTTT